CTCTGTGTGTGTGTGTGTGTGTGTGTGTGTGTGTGTGTGTGTGTGTTTGTGTGTGTGTGTGTGTGTGTGTGTGTGTTTTCATGGCAATAGCAACACACTTTCTGTTGTTGTTTCAGACAAATCACGAGATTTATATAAAATGGCAACACAAAATGGGTTGCTGCCTCTGAGTGGTAGTCCCCCACCACAGCCACCACCCAAACCCCAGCCCAGGCCCTGCTAAATGGGCCTTTTTTTGCCCCCCTTTTTCTGATTTTTCTTCTGTCCTTAAACCACCACTACCTTTCTCATATGTGGGGCCACAGGCCTCAAATTCAAATTCGGTCGCGATGTGCTGTCGATGAAAAATATCAACAGTGGCGCGGCGGTTATTTTTCAGGAGAGGGCTAAGAACAACAAATCTCGAAAGGCAATCAACTCCCAAGAAAAATTGAGAAGTCCAAGGTGTTGTAGAGGCCAGTCGCTGAATGCACAGTGATCACTTGGAGCTGTGAGCCACAGGTGTCCAGGAATATGAGACCACCTCCCATCCCATCCTCACGTCGAAACTCCTAGCGCACTCCCTATCCCACTATGTGACGCCCAACCTCACGCCCACTGGCAGCGCGACTTCCTGATCGGAGTGGAGTGTGGGCCTGGAAGTGCGAAAAGGGGTGTGCCAAGGATTTTTGGGGGAAGTGGGGGAGTCTTAGGGGTATGAACACAATTAGGCGACAGGGGGGGGGGGGGTACGCGCGCAAGGGCCTCACAGTCCGAAGGGGCCGGGACACTGCGGGCAACGGGTTACGGGAAAATTCCTTCGGGGTGGAGATGGTCCTGAAAAGTTAGGCCGTCGGGGGCCGCCACGTGGCGCAGGCCGCCTCGTAGTTGGGTTGGCCGCCACGTGGCGCAGGGCGCTGCTGCGTCGGCAGTTTACGCAAAACGTGTTGCGCCAATAGGGGGCTATGGCCGGCCACGGAACAACACTGAGTTAATGATACGGGAGAAGGAGGCGGAAAGGAGGGAAACTGGTGGTGATCTCAACGAATCCCAGGTGGGTGAAGAAGTAGGTGTGGTCGGGGGAAGGGAAATCGGAGCACTGAGGGTCGCTAGTGGTGGCACAGTGGAATTCCCGCGGACATAGCCGATTCTCCATGTGACAAGGGTATCGGGTCCTTATGAGCTCGTTTATTATAGGGGTGAAATAGTCCGGGTCATAGGACGAGTCTGAGCCCCAACATCGCGTCATGGTATCATTGCCGACGGGATAGCGCGGGCCAGGAAATCGTCACCCCGCACGAGCACGTGTAGGACAAGCCGACTCAGTGGCGCCTCAGCATGCTCGTACGGGATGAGGGTTTCGTCGTGATTCCTTTCGGGGTGAGCTAGTCGACACGCGGGAATGCGTGTAAGGGCACGACTCGGATCGCGTTTACACGTGTTCTCGTGCGGCGCTCGCG